ACTCCTTCCTCTCCCCAAAGGCCTAGACTTTTTGTTTACCTTCCTTTATTGACGTTTTCTTTTTTCTTTTTCCACTACCCTCATCATCTTCACATGCATCAATGTTTCTTTCTTTTTGGTCCTCCTTTAATCTCACTTTTTAGGCCCCTCTTAAAAGTTCAGTTATTTCTTTCATCAGACACCGTCTAAGAACATTCCCTTCTGTCGCCAGATTTTCTATACATCCCACACTTGATGATGGCCTCTGTTTCTGTTCAAAATGCAGATTTGCATTTGTTGGGTGTTGAACCGTGATTCTGTGCGGCATCGTTGAACCCGCATCGAGCAACAAATTATCAGATATTTTGATCTTTGAAAATAACATTGAAGCGTTTAACCATTGCTGCACATTCAAGGTCACCTGTCATACAATGAGCCAGATTCGTGAGAACCTTAAACATTAAGCGAAATGGGTCGTAGAGCACATTTCAGCACCATCAGCTGGTTATTTACCATCACGCAAAGGGAAAATTATGCTGAAAAATTGCAAATATGCTATTAATGAAGAAAATCACAATGAGTGATGAAGTCTCACAGTACATCAATGAAGACACAGTTGAACTGCAAACCTACAGGAGGACGCCTGAAGACATTTCATTTTCTTTTTGAGAAGATAATCACATTGTGAGAATGATAAAGAAAAATCCTCCTATTAGTGCAACAAAAATTACTGCACAGTTGTAAATTAGCACTGATAAGAAAGTAAATCTTGAAACCGTGTGAAGGGTGTTAAGGAGGTCAAATTTCCAATAACTAATAATTTACTTATTTATAAGTAAAGCAAATCAAAGGCGAAGGTATGCGTTTGCTACAGAACACTCAGAAAATGATGAAGATTAACAGAATAGAGTAAACCTCGCTGCCGAATCGAAATTTAACATACGGGGCTCCGATGGAAGATTCAAGGGTGGAGGAGACCAAACTAAGAGCTGAAAGAAGAAAATACGCAAAAAAACATGACGCTTGGAGGAGAATGGTGTAGGAGTGCATGTTACCCAATTGTGGCAGTGAACTTGTGTTTACAGAGCACACGATGAATAGGTTCAACTATCTTAACATTCTCAAACAAAATTTAAAACAAGTACTGAAAATCTTGGTATTTCTGATCGATTTTATTTTTAGCAAGCACTCTTAACACATGATCTCAAGCACAAGTTGCATGTTGTTCAATTTTGGCTGCTGTACAACTGTCCAGCTGTACTTATCCAGCCTCCCAGTAAACAGACCTTAATGTCTTTGGGAAATATTGGAAAAGAAGATAAGAAAATACCTAATGCAGTCCAGAAAAGAATTCAAACATATAATACAACAAATATGAAGAAAACTTTCTCCTTCTTGTACCCTAAAACTTGTACAAAGTACACCAAAAAGACTTAAGAAAGTACTGCAGAAAAAGGGGATGACTCGACAAGATACTGAACTCTCTTACTGTTATTTTTTACATGTTTTCTTGTTTGAACATTATTTACTGTGCAAATTTGTTTATATTCAAAAAATCTAATTTAAAAATATCAATAGGTTATTGTGATTTTGAAGAAATATTAGTAAATAGGTTATAACAGCTTACGAAAGTGATCATATAATATGCTTTATTACACATATTTTCTACTTTTGATACTCCTAATCCATAATTATTCTATTAAATTTTCTGTGTCTGAATAGTTTTGTGAGTCACTGTAATGTAGATACAATACTTTTACTGTCTTTGCACTTTATTGTTACGTTAGCATTTACGAGTTTCATATCATGGAACAGCAACTTAAAAACTTAAATCCTAGCCGACTAGGCTTAATCTGCGAATATAAAATGATCCTGGCTTTTCGACTTTAAAAAACCTTGTTGAATGAATTAATTCTCAATTTAATAACCAATCATATTGATTAATCTTTGGTTCTCGACAAGGTTAACTTGCGATACGACCATATGTACCTTAGATGACAAAAATTACAATTCTGCCTATTTGGCAAATAATTCTTTAATCAGAATGTAACCTTTTTGTAAAGAGGTTTTGATTTATTTGTTCAGTCACAATATGGCAAAATTATCCCATCTTAGACGTTGATTGCTGAAATTTGAAAAATGAACTTCGGTTTAAACGGACTTTTTCCTAATCTTTTTAATTTTTCTATTAATCATATTTAAAAATTTATTGTAATTCAGATAATGAATAAAGAAAACTAATATAGTAATAGAAATAAGATACTAGAACAAATGTCAATGTTCACATATTTGGGGAATAAGATATCATTAATACAGGATTATATGGAATCAAAAAAACAAGTACCCAAAATAAATTGATACATTAAAAGACTTCCAAAATATACCATTGAATTAAAAATTAGATTACATAGTATTGTAGCAGAATCCACACTATAATATGGAAGTGAAACATGGATTCTGAAACAAAAAGACTAAAACAATCAAAGTGGCACAAATGAGATCTGAAATCAATTTTAAAAGTTTCAAGGAGAGATAAGATAAGAAATAAAACGATCCAGAAAATACCAAAAGTTGAAAATGTTGTCTCAGAAATTGAAATCTACCAAAACAAATGGCAAGAACATATCAAAAGACTGAATATCGAACGTTTCCCGAGAAAAGTGATAAAATACAAACTAAGAGGAAGAAGAGACCTTGGCAAACCAAGAATGCTCTCGGAATATTAAAAACATCTCCGAAACAACTGAGGGGATATTGATAAACCAAAGCATCTATACCAAAAATGATCATGATGAAGATGAAATTTAATTAACATGATTTTCTATCGAGAATTGTATAATGTACGTGTTATATCAACAAATGATCTGGATAAAGGTTTTAAAAAAATTAAGGAACCGCACTGTTGAATATTGACAATGTCCTAGGAGGTTGTAAAGTATCCCAAAAATAGAAAGATCTGTTTCAAATTCATAGGCCTGTACGTCAGGCCAGGTTGATTTGGTAACATTTATTTTGGAGAAAATCCTGGGTACAATTTAGGCCCTAGTGTTGTTCATAAACAAACAGATAGATATTGTTTTAAAAAAATAAAAACTTGTTCATGGAAAGGGTTTGTAGTATGAAAATGAAATTTATTATCACATAAAATCTTAATCTTTCCTAATTTCATCAACCATTGCAGTCTCTTCAGTCAAGCAGTGTGGAATTTGTGCAGTTAAGTGGGAGTGATTTTTTTACACTGATTGATGCCAACCCTAATTGGGGGGACATGGTGTCCGATTAACACCTAGAAGTGAATCATATTAACTATTTCACAAACATTGGCTAACTTAGACTTGAGCCATTTAACTCTCTACTATCCTTCTCATTCCACCCAATGGAGAATGTTTGTGAGAAATCAAAGTATTTATGTAGCTAAAATGCAAGAAAGTACTCTTTAAAACATATTTTTTAAGAAATACTATTTATACAATAACTCTCTGATTAAAATGTAGATTAATGCGAGTATTTAAAGCACTATGAAAATAAATAATCCAGGCTCTGAAATTCCATATCTATGGCCTGTCCGTTTGATGAGTTAACTCAAACACATACATACTCTCATCTGCTTTTTGATGTAATTTGTACCAGTTCTTCAACATTCTTTTAGTGACGATATTGAAATAAAGTAAATCCCTTGTAGAAACTATTGGAACCTCCAAGTGTTCGAACTGACACTTCTGATTGGCTGGTGCTGCAGCCTATATGGCTGGCAGAAGAACACATTTCACAGAGCAATGCAACCTTGGGTAGCGCATCTGTTTTTGAATCTATAAATAATTATTTGACCTCATCAAAATACAGACAAGCTACCAATGTGCGTATACCCGGAAGTGTAAAATGTGAAAACTCAAAAGAATTTCATAACTAGAAAACACTTAAACTAAGTATTCAGGGACAAAATATGAAATGTTAATAAGAGGTTGTGTCTTGCCTACATGTGGTGGTTGCCACGGAGAAAATGCACATAGAAGTCATATGTTATAAATTAAAATAATTGTGGTATTTATTTTACTGTTATATTCTTAACTTTGTTTTTTGAGTCCTTTTTAATTTAAAGTTATTCACATAACTAGTGGACTCTGCAATGCGCCACTATTGTAATGTATTACACTTCACATGCTGCTGGTCATGTGATTTTGTTAATCATGTTTTACATTCACAGGACGATTTGTAGTCCAAATGCCATACATAAATTTTAAATCTTGCATTGCAGTTTCCTTTCTTGGAATTTTTGCTTCATGTATTTGTTCTGAATGTAAATATTGGGCTATTTCAGAAATCATCTCAACAGAAGTAATCTTGTTAGTATTGATCTCAGAAAACAAAAGTATGATAGGCGTACACATATCGGCAAATGTGAAGCAAATTTCTGTCTGCAATTCTTTTTTCTCACAATTTCTAAAAGTGTCAGTAATGTGTTATCCTTGTTGAAGTTGAATGTGCCACTCAAATTGTGTTTCCAGAAATGGAGGTTTTCGCAAGGACTCCATGGTCGAAGTGCCAGTTGGCTCTGCTCTTCAATGCAGGTCAACCATAGTAAAGCTTTTTGACCCCACAGGCACAGGCATGATAAAGTAACATTCTGTGAATCTACAGACAACCTGCAGCAATGAGACAAGTCATGTATTTTGCAGATTAAAAGATTGAGGGAAAGGCACTGTAAATCACAAGAGTATACAAATAATAAGGTTCAAGTATTCAAGAAATAATAAGGTCTGGGGTCCAAATTCTCCCATCAACCATTCCCACGTTAAAGGGTCGGGAATGGAAGAAAGAAAAGAGGCGATATCATAAAACACGGAAAGGAAAGGTAAAGAGTCTAGAACAGAAAGGCATTGCGCAAGACACAGAACAATGGCCAAGCACTTTTATGATTCCTCCCTTCACCCTAATTGAATTTTGCTATTTTTGTGCGCACAAGTTGGGATGCGTACATTTTGACTGTTTCCCACAGAAAGTTCCAGCAATTCAAAGGATACTGCACGTGGTAAAACCTCCAAAAGTCTTCAGCCCACTCCAGGAGCTGCAGCACTGGCGGCAGCGTGGCAGAGCCCTTCAGCGTCAGCTGCTCTTCCTTGGCCCAATCGATGGCACTCACAGCTTGCTCCAGGTTGCTCAGGCGGCCCTTCATCTCCAGCACCATCTCTGCACACTCATGGCTGCAAAGAAACACTCATTCGTATTCCCCTAGTCAAAACATTTATCTTTAGCATGCACATATAAGGCTGCATAGGAACATTTATTCTTTTCTGTATTCTAATCAAAGCACATGCCTTAAGCATACACATACATAGCTACAAAGGAACATTCATTCTATTCTCTAACCCCCTAATCAAAATATTTGGTATAATTAGGCACTCAATGGATGATTTGTGAATTATATATGCAAAGTACATTTAAGTGTCAGAATAATCTAAATTCTCAACATGGTAAACATTTTTTTTATATGCAATATTATTAAGTACATTTAAATTGTCATTTTCTGCATAAATTATATTGTTCCAAAACAAAATAACATAGTTCTACTTATCTATTCTATTCTGTTTGAAGTTTAGGTTAATATTCTCAAAATTATTTTGGATTTTCATAAATAAATTTGAGTGAATTATTTTGTTAAATATAAAAGCTAGGTTTTTATTCCCAAGTTCTTTCTTCAGTCCTGAAATCTATTTCATCCATTTATGAGCCTATTCCAATGATTCAATTTTTCCTTCTTCTCAATTGGAATTTGTATTTCTTGCACAATTGCTTTAATTCACACTCACTTTAGGGAAACATTAACTTTTCTTGCTAGTAACTACTTATGAGCACAGAGAAAGATATGTATTTACATAAATACATATAACATAGGAAATCATGAAGCACAAGAATTATCTTCATATTTAACAATTAATGGACACACATTTTCTTTGATTAAATTAAAATTTCAAAGCTTCCCTCCCAAACATAAGATTGAACATCAAAAAAATGTATATTGAAATATCTAAATGATTAAATAGAAACGAACGGAAAAGTTTTTATGATAATCAATGGTATAAGATCACAAAAAGTCTAAAACAAGCTGAGTGATGGTAGAATATTGTTGGGGTTATGGAAAAATTGGTTAAAAGATGAAAGGAAATCTTGGCATTTTGTGAAGGGATGATTTGCAACGAAGCAAAATTGTCAGGTATACTCTAGAAACTCTTGTTATGTCTCAACTAACACTCGAAGATTTAAATTAATAAACAAGTGTTTTCTAAATATCATAGATTGTATTGGCTCAAACCTATACATAAGACACCTAGACAACATTTGTTTATTAATTTATAGTTATCAATCATGTAATCAAATGAAATCAAGTTATCAACATTACCAACAACATATTAACCCTAATATTTGTTCTACGTATTACAATGTCACATAGTATTTTGTATCAAGTTGTAAACAAAAAAACAAAGAAGAAACAAAGTAATATGGACAACACTAAAACCAAATAATTTGATCATTGAATCAGAGAAATATAAGTCAAAATGGCAAGAACATAAAAAGAATGCATCCAAGTAGACTTCCTAAGATGGTAAAGAACTTTAGACCAAAAGGAAATGGACACCACAGCAGACCAAGGAAACAGTGAGAGGACCAAGAACAGCTAACTAGTGTAAGGGAATACTGTAAACAAGGAACAGGGCATGGGACCTAAACCTTACTACTACTACTACTACTACTACTACTACTACTACTACTACTACTACTACTACTACTAATAATAATAATAATAATAATAATGGTGATGGTGGTGTAATGGTAATCATGAAGCAGGTCCTTGAGACTGCTGCAATATATGTGTATTTTTCCTCCAATGCAACCAACAGAGCTTAACTAAGTTCCACCCCGCTCTATTTTCAAACCCAAAGTTAAGTGATTCAATATGTTAAATTACTTAAAACAATTCACAACATTGTCTTACACAGAAAAGACTGATTAACAGACAAAAGACTCTTTCAGCATATGAAATTAATTACAATAAAACTATTTCATGACTTCAAAGACAAAGTCCCTTGCACTGTTAGAAACTAAAAAAAGCATGATCCACCTGCTCCACCATGCTTGTTTGGTGTGATTGAAACTTTAGAGATTACAAGAGAAAGTGATCCTAGGAAGAATGAATTTGAAATCTGTAGTAAATAAAAATTCTAGATTACCCTGGGGTTATTTATCAAATGAGAAAGATAGTCCTAATTAATGTACATTTATTATTTCAGGGTTAAAATACATATTGATTGAAAATATTGAAATGGAAAGATGATTTTCTGTGCATGACATGAATCTTCAGTTTAAAATAAAATGGACAGTGCTCATTTAGCATTTCTTTTTTATTGATATTTCTTTCAACATTTCTAATTTACACTCTACTTTCAATAAAAGAGTTTGGAAGAAACTGAAATTTATGTACAAATGTTATTTCCATGTCAATCTATAAATCAATTAAGAAATTATACATCCTCTGTTTTTTAAGAGCCTTGAGGACTTCCAAAACAGGAGTTGTTAGAGTGTGAAATTCTAAATCTGCCAACCTGGATTGCCAAGGTGGCTAAGGGCTTGTAACAACTCAGCTCTTCTGTCCAAAGGGTTGTGGGTTCAAGTCCCACCTTGGGTATGATTGTTTGTCTCTTGTCTCTCAAGTGTGCGTTGTCGCAGAGCACCTAGCATTCTGCTGAGCCCACAAGTGGGATGGTGTCTAGTGTATGGTCAAATACGTGTCCCATTGGGATGAAAAAGGTAACTGCCTGATGGGTGGAAAAAGCCCTACGAAAAAATATTACAATTGTCACTCATTTCTCAAGCACATATGTAAATCAAAGAACACAAAGAAAACTAGACCATCATATTTTTATTTATTTGTTTTTTTGAGTGGTAAGATGTCAAAATCATATTGTTGTAAAACCAGATCATCCATCTCATTGACACCAACATTGAGTTTTCTCACTGTATGACATTAAGACATAGCCACTTATGTTATGGTCACTGGATTCTATGTGCACGCATTCTAATTTTGAGGAAATCAATCATTATATTGTGTGAATTTATTTATAACTGGGTAACACAGTACAAAGATGTGTTCTGCATTTGTACAAATGAAGTACTCACAGAATTTTCTGAGCACTTTCCAACTCTTCTTCTGCACCTGCATGAATTTTGGCCAAAAGAAGAGATTTGAAATCTCTTAATTGCATCAATTCAATTTCCTTATCATCCTCAGGAACCCTAAAGAAAGCAAAAATACACATCAGAAGTATAAAATGCACATTGCTTCTGAAAACCCTTAACAGGTTGATGGACAAAACCTGTTTCGTGTAATGTATATAGCAAATAGTATATGAACTAAGGTTATTGCAGATGGGATTAACCATTGATGATGAAGATTAAATATTTATATTTTGAAGTTCTTCACAAATGTACATGTGATTACAAGAATATATTAATTTTCATTGGACAAAATCTTGAATATGTTTTCTTGAACTTTCGATTGTTTAAGTATTTCAATGGTTGCCATTATTCTGTGAAATTAAAACCCAATTCCCATAAAAACAATAGGGAAACAATTTAATTCACATATCATGAGACCACTGTCATATTGGCATAATAAAACATTTTACAAAATACACTCACGCGTTAACATATCGTAACTGTTCTGCTTGATTAGATAACGCTGTTACATACTCCTCCGCTTTCCGCAATTCTAGTTGCCATTTCATTGGGAACGCATGGACATGTATGAAAAAAGACCGTAAGTTTTTCAGTAATGAATCCATGTTGAATGTTACAAAATGTGAAAAGAGGTTATGTACATGTAAACACAATGTTTACAAGCTTGCCCAGTCTTTCGTCACACGTTTACATAGATCGATACAACAATATTGAGGTCTTTACCGAAAAGGGAGCATACAATTTGCATGACAGTACATTAACAAACTCAAAATAATTCGGCACCCAACAAAGTTGACGTAACGTTATGACCAATCCGGCAACAAAAAATGAATGCCCGCGTTGAAATATGAAGGATGGGTCAAACAAACGTCCGTTGTCCTTCCTGGGTAATATTACACTATCCGTCAAAAGCGTGAAGTCAAAACCGTTCGATTGCAGTATCAAGTTTCCGGCATGTCGCTCCTATCATGTCACCCACGCGCGTTCCGGGGGGCCACGAGGCCAGGCGCGCCGGTGCTGCGCCCTGCACAGGGAAAGCGCGAAGCGGCGGCGGCGGCGGCGCCCCAGCTGCTGGCTGTCAGGCAGAGCCTCCCGCGCATCTTCCGCGACCGGTCGCACGTCCAGCGGCCGCCCCGCCGCTCGCGCCCCTCAGCGGCGATGTGCTAAGTGGAGTGCGCAGCGCGGTCCTCTTTCGTTCGCGTGTGGCTTCTGCCTCGCCGCTCACGATGAACGGAAAGCTTCACGCCGACGACGACCTGAGCATGGGGGCGGATCTGCTCAACCCCTTCGTGCACCGCTTGGAGCTGTCAACGACGTACGAGAAAATCAAGGTAGGTCGCCGCGTGCGCACACACACACTGCGCGAGTTCCACCCCGGGTGGCGTGGCGCCTCGTGCCGTCGCCGCGTCCCAAATCCGCTGGACGGGCGGCACGCGGCCCGGAGGCTGCGAAGGCGTTTGCATAACGTTCCTCCGCGCGCGAGTGTTTGGCTTAGCCTCCACCGCCCCGCGCCCCTGCCATCGATCTGCGAAGCCCTAGCGCCCGCGCGCCAAACGCGATTGCCACCCGGAACACAGCCGCCCCCGCTCACGCACTCGCCCACGACCACGTCCACGTCCCTACTCACGCTCTCGCTTACGTCGCCTCTCTCAAACCATCATTCACGCCTTTGGCTTCTCCCAAGCTCTCGCCCACGCCGTCAACCCCTCGCAGTCGCCGGGCGGAGACCTGACACACGCACGCGACACACAACTTGAACGCCACCCTCAATTAAAAGGCGAAACCAAGGAAAACGATTGTCTGCGACGCACTGTAATCCATTGGCGAGATGAACCCTGCGAGTGCCCCGCTCCCTCCGCCAGAGAGATAGTCCAGAGGCGCCCAACAGCCTCCGTCGCTCCCGCGGAACAACCCACAGATTCACGACCTCGAACGGGACAACTTGCGGTTTACGCCCCACATTCGGCCAAGGTCCATTTCCAAACCGAGGAGCAAACATTCAAGACCTGACATGACCATTTGGTAAAAATTGAGTTCTATTGCTTTTACCTACATTTTTTCTCCAGAAAAAACATGATGCCTTACATTACATACATACATTAAGTAGCACTTTATTCGCGGAGTTAAAGTTGGTGTTGAAATGAATAAAATGTATGCTGAATTTTTCATTTTTATTGGAAGAAAGTGAAGTGGGTGTGTCACGATTAAAATGTTTGTTCTTCAGAGACGTGGCGGAGAAAATGTATAAATGCAAGAGTTACTCTTGTATTTATAACGCTTTCTGTCTTCTTGGTAACGACGTTTTGATAGTTTGTCATCCCAACATCTACAAGTTGACAGGGTTTCCCCCCTCCAAACCCCGAATAACAATGTTCTCTTTGTTTGCTGCTGCGAATACTAACTTTCGCACAGTGCAACAGACGTCCGCGCCACCTGGAGCGCGTGTTTGAAATTGCCGCATGATCGACTCGTGGCTTTCAAACAAGCCGCTAACTAAACTTCTGTCTCCCCTCTGCAAAACGTCCGTCTGTGAACAACACTAGCAGCTAAACCGTTCATCCGATATTATTCAAAATAGATATCCCCCAACCGATCTAGCTAATGTCGCGGACCCTTGAATATGAAACCGATATTTCAGTTTTGGGGGATACTTTACATGAAGCACCTGGGACATTTTCCGAATTAAAAAAAAAAAAAAGGCTCCATTGTTTGTGATTAAATGTTGTTGTTGGATAGTGAGAAGGAGGTTTAAGAAAATGGTGTAGGTCTCATGTTCGTTAAAAACCCTGATTTTTCGAAAATTGCAAAACCTCGAACTTTTTTCAGTGTCTTCCTTCAACTAAAATATTAAGGATATATATTTGTTCCTTTAATAAAATATATTCTTTAAAGACAGATTTTGATGTAAGGTCGTGTACAAGTTTTCGAAAATTTGAGTACTTTTCGTGAAAATACGGGCGAGAAAGTACGTGCTGTTGTAGTTCCACTAGTTTGGTCAGGGCTTTTTCCTTCCTTACACGAGACACGAGGCAGAGAGGCTCTTGAGCTTCTAGCATCGGCCACTCACAGCGAGAGACACAGAGGGAATAACCGCAACCGTTCGAACCAAACTGTGAATTTGTTTTAGCCCTTGACCGCCTCGCTCAACCACCCTATCTGAGTTTCGAATTGAGCAGGAAAACTATAGCAGTTTCTACTTGTACAGTTTGGTTTGTCGATGAAGTCAGTTAATGTGTAACAAATACGTAAATCGCCTTTTAAACTTTAACCACTCTAAACCATTTATGAAATCTAAATTAACAATTTGATGCTCAATTGACAGGTGGTTCTGGGCGCGTCGACGGCTAATGTCATTAGTCCCGTAAGTACAGGGCATGTTCTATCGCGGGGGGGGGGTGGCTGTGATTTAGCCCCGTTGGATGGCGAGATCCAGCGCCGACCTTCTGCGTACTAGCGGAGTTTATCCCAACTAGATATCTCCCACCAGGAGGGCACCACTCCAGCAGGGACAAGCTCTTAAGCCCCCGACCGGTCTTGTAGAATGTGTAGTCTGCGAAAGTAATGGGTGAGGATAGGTCAAGGAAGAAAAAGGAAATCCAGGTATCTCTAAGCTCCCCACTGGTCTCCCGACATGTGCATGTGAGTGTGTATGTGTATGTTGTATGTATGAATGTAAGCAAGGAAGAGGGGTCAAGGTTGAGGACAGGGGGATCGCACGCGGTCACTGGTACGTTTGTGAATTACTCCGGCGTTCGCCTGGTATAGGTCTGGGAAACAATGGGGAACTACCGAAGTACTTAGTTAAATAAACGTCTATTAAACATTTTACCCCTTTTAATGTAAAAGCTAGATGTGCTAAAACAGCACGTGCTTTCTCGCACGTATTTTCATGAAAAATTACTGTCAGAAAGACGGACGAACTGATGTTTTGTCGTCATTCGATTTTTGGTATCAAGGACCCACAAAACATGGATTCTGATTACACGGCGTTTTATAGCACTTTTTTTCTAAATTTAGCATCGAGATTTATCCACTTTTTTGTTACCAGGGCCCTGTAATAAGAGCTTTTGTGAAGAAAATTCGCGTGTTTTTTTTCGTGCAGTATGCTGCGTAAGCGATAGCGAGGAAGTAAAAGTTAGTCTGATCTAACAATTTCGTGTAATGTATGTGGTGCATCTAAAAAAAAGTCCGTAACCTTGAATGCATTTCGTAGGAACTCTAGTCATAAAAGCGAAACGGTTTATGAAACTTGCTGAGATCTTTTTCGTGTAGTGAAATGTTTACAAACTGGATGTAACATATTTATTTTGAACTGCGTGCGTGTCTTCGAGCCCTGGGCGCGAGCCGCCCTTCAGGTCTTTGCAGAAACTCTCTCAACAAACGTCTTTCTACGTGCATAACAGTTTGAACGTACACGAAGATGACATTTAAGCTGAACGCAGTCAGTGTTTATAATTGCCAAGATTTATTCCTACTTCTCAGTACAATAGTGTACATTTGACGAATGACTTGCTACGTTTTCATAGTTCCGCGTGAGATAATACGTATTCAAATCTATATATGAACTTGCCAAGGACTGTTTAATATTTTGAGAGACATTATCATTTCCAGGTACGTTATTACAATAGATACCACAGAAAACATTACGTAACTCGAGTTTCTTGTTTCCTGTTTCCTTTTATTGTAGTTCGTTCTCAACACACTATAAGATGCCATTTTACTTTCTCGTTACGGTGTAGAAAGACAGTTACGAACGTATGTAATGCAGCGCAGAAAAAAGGAACATTTTCGACAGAAAACTCTTATTACAGGGTCCTGGTAACGAAAAAGGGGATAAATACATATGCTAAATTTAGACAAAAAATCCCCTAACACGTGGTGCAGCCAGAATCCATATTATGTGGGTCCTTGATAACGAAAAATCGAATGTCCGGCAAAACATCTGTCTGCCCGCCTCTCTGTCTGTGCGTCCGTCTGAACAATGCTAGCGCCTAAACTGTTCAGCCGATTTTCTCCAAAATTGATATTCCCGAATCCATTTCGCTGATGTCCCGGCCCCTTGAATTTGAAACTGATTTTTAATTTGGAGAGTACTTTGCATGAATCCACTGGGACATTTTCCAAATTTTCAAAAAAATGGCGCTGTTGTTTTTGATTAAATGTTGTTGGACAGTGAAAAGGACGTTTACGAGAATGGTGCAGGATTCATGTTCGTCAAAAACACCGATTTTTCGAAAATTGCAACAGTTCAAAAATTTTTCGAAGCCTTTCTGCAACCAAAATATTTAAGATAGAGATTTTTTCTCGTAATGAAATCTGTTCCTTAAAGATAGATTTTGTAATAAGGTTATGTATAATGTTTTCGAAAGTTTTTGTGTAATTTTGCGTGAAAATACATGCGAGAAAGTGTTTTAGCACCACTAGTTTAAATGATTTCCTTTGTAATAGGCACGCAATTAGGTAAAAATCACGTTGGCATCGGTTACCGGAAGAGAACTCGAAAAGGTATCGACTTTCTCGCATCAATAATTGTATTAATGACGTAAAACTTGTGACATTTTTGTGCTAAATAAAAACAGATGTTTATTCATCATTATTTCATGAGATAAAAACAGATGTATTTTCATCATTATTTCAACAGATGTATCTTCTTCATTCTTATCATTACAATGTATTAAACTATATTATCGTATGACGTATAATAATACAAAATGCATTCTGAATATTCAATTTTCAAGTTGTCTCGACTCTTTTACTCACAGTTAAAGGCGCTGTGATATCTCAAATTCTAACTAACATTTGTGATATATTGCATCACAATAGCATTTTGAATAATAAGCATATCGTTAACAACATTAATGATTTACAGCTTCCTAGAAAACATACCTAAAGACAAAATCGTCGGTGTAACTTCGAGCCCTCCCCC